TAATAATAATAGATAGATAGATAGTATTGGTAAAGCGCAAATCCTCACTTAACAGCAAGATGTATGCGCTTCAAAATCTATACTATTACCCCAGCAGACCTGAGAGCATTCTGAATTAACCTCAACTTCCCGGGAAGCATACAGTGCAAGCAGCCATTTGTAGGCGCTAAAACACTAACATACTGACACCATCTTTCCCGATCTACCGTCAGGTACCCATTCCCACCTGGGTGAAGTGGGGAAAATTCGTGTAAAGTGCCTTTCCCAAGGACACAACGTCAGGCCCGCGGCTCGAACCTCCGAACCCGCAACCTCAAGAGTACGATTCCGGTAGCCTAACCACTAGGCCATTGACGTCACATCATTTTTAAAGACGTCGTAAAGGGTACAAATTATACCAATACCAACATCAAGATTTCAGATTTTCTTAATTTCTTCATTAAGATCAATCTAATGTATCATCATGACTTCTTGTGAACAGGTACATTATGTCGCTATTACTATTATGTAAAATTAGAGGCTTTCTCTTGTACTTTGTACTGTCCGAAATAACCGTGGTTGACATCTGACATTATATTTGTTGGAACAAAAAATGAGAGAACGGACGTAAAAGTTTGTACAGCTTTGCAGTAGGCCCATAGATAGATAGATAGAAAGAGACACAGATAGAGTAGCACCCTGTCATCTTTCAAAACCATGCGAGCTTAAAGAAAATAAGGGACGCTCTTGTGGCCAAAGGGTTAAATAAGGTGTTGGCCTCTCATTTAAAGGTCCCGGGTTCGAATGCGGGTAGCGACCAAAAAAAATTCATTCTCTAAAATTGTTTCCTTTTACGTCCATTTCTGCTCTCCAACAATGTTTTATCGTCTGCCTTCGTCTCCTCTTTGTTGTCCCCGCCCCCTCATCCCCTTTGCCCCCTCCTCTGGGCTCCTGGCTCTTTCTGCAGCCTTTCTACTGCTACTCCTTGGCTCCTTCTTACTGATGTCTTTTCTGATCTTCTGGAAGAAAAGATCTACACCTAGCCTTCTCGGACAAGGGCGGAAAATCTCGGAGGGCCCGTGTGCAAGTTGCGCACGTTGTGCACGTTAAAGATCCTTTGGTGGTCTAAAATCGATAAGAGAGACCGCCACTCGGGCAAAATTCTAAATTTCCTACCAACTGAAAATGTTTAATGTGTCCCGCGAGCTCATATGACGTTATGCAGTTTCGAGCGCCGTAAAACACTTACCCCCCCCAAAATAAAATAAAATAAAATAAAAAATTCCAAGGAAGTAAAATGTAATCAAAAGAGGTAATGTGCAAAATTCGTTTTTGTCAGCTGGATTTCTTTAAAAAATGTCTAGGGCACAGAAAGAATCTTTGTGGTCACTAAATGTGAGGCAGCGTGGTGGAAACGGGCTCTCGTCAATTTTTGAACATGTAGTGTTATTGGTATCATCTTAAAGCTTGTTTATTTGTCTTTATTTTATTTTTATTCTTTTTTTTTTTGGGGGGGGGGCATATCCATTTATCTTGAATACTAGTCGAGATATTTGAGAATGAAGGGGTTGGGGGTCACCTGTTTTCAGAGGTAAGATTAGTGAGAAAATGGACTCCAAAGATTAGTTATTTCCTTAGCTTAAGAGTCTGTGGTAGCTGAAAATTAAAATGTTTTGTGCCTTTAATCAAAGTTTTTCAGATAAAGCCATACAGAAATGAGTTCTTTAATGGGCATGAAAGGTGTTGAGTCAAAAAACAAAAATTTGACCAAAAATTCACAAACCTGTGGAAAAATGCAAGTTTCTTCACTTTGATTATTTTGACGAGAGCCTGATTCCACCACGCTGCCTCACAAATGTGTTACACATGCTCTGTTGTTTGTCTTTTTGTGACATTCCAAAAAAACAAACAACAACATACAAACAAACGAACAAACACCTAAACAAACACACAGACACAACAAACAAACAAATGCACATACGTACAAACAAACGAGCAAACAAACGAACAACATGGGGGGTCACCAGAGCTCCGAACTTGACTACAAAATAAACAGACACTCTGGGACCCAGGGACTCTTATCTTGTTCACTTTTAAGGACAAACGGACTAACCCAGATTTCGGGGGTTTCCAGAAAACTTGACCTTCATCAAAAGTGGGCATTGCCCTACCTATTGGAGAAGTTTGGTTTCATTGGTGTGTATATTTGTTTGGTTATAGAAAAAAAACCTCAACTTGTCTTTTAAAGAAACTGAACAAGTGGCAAAAACGTTACCTTCGATTTTCTCAAAACAGTATTTTTCGGGATAGCCCCCTTGTGCTTAAAAGCCACCAATTTTTTTCCCACCCATCCAGATGGTAAGATGAGGGGAAACATAATATGTGAGGCAGCGTGGTGGAATCAGGCTCTCGTCAAAATAATCAAAGTGAAGAAACTTGCATTTTTCCTAAGGTTTTTTAATTTTTATCAAATTTTTGTTTTTTGCCTCAACACCTTTCATGCCCATTAAAGAACTCATTT